TCTGGAGAAACACTGCTAGTCTCACTAAAATGAGAAAGGTAGAAACTCAGAAATATTTCTCCCATGTTCTGAAGCAGCATGAACATCAGGTGACAACGGCTTATCAAACATCAGTTAGCTACCCAGTGTGGCTTCGCTGCAGTCGGGGGGGGGGGGGGGGGGAGGGCGGGGCGGAGTAGGGAGAAAAAAGGGGCAGACAGCCTGCTCAGTGGTTAGTGTCAACCAGGAGTTCATGGCTGAATTCCTGGTCAGGGCACATGTCTGGATTGCAGGCTCAATCCCCAGTGTGGGGTGTGCAGGAGGCAGCTGATCAATGATTCTCTCTCATTACTGATGTCTCTTTCCCTCTCCTTTCCTCTCTGAAATCAATCAATCAATCAATCAATCAATCAATCAATCAAAGAAAGGAACAGATAGAGGTGACTGGGAGATGTTGATTCCAGTATTCTCTGAGCTTGCTAGCCCAAATCTTGTTAATGGCACTGAAACAACTAGGTATCCATACAAACAAAATTAATCTGATCTAGATGTAAAAGTAAATCCTAGACCTATATGTGAAAATAAAAACAATAAAAACAGAACATTCTAAAAGCAGCAGAGAGAATAAAGGAAGCAGAGCTCAGGGCTCTGGGTTCAGACAGCTTATGACCAGACACAAGCCAGGCCTCCGTTCCGGGCAAATGTGCTAACAGACACGCCACCTGCAGAGGTGAGCAGAAGAAGCGACGCCCACAAAGCACTCAGTGTGGCCTGTGCTCCATACGTGCAGGCCGCTTTTATTACTGTCCTGCGAAGCACTGCACAGAAGCTGACTTGCCAGGCTGCTCCATGTGGCATAGCGAGCAGCGCCGTCAATAGGATATGAGCCAACGGCCAGGCGACTGAGACAAGATCAGACAAGAGCAGATTTAACTTCACTGCTTCTGTTACAATACTTGCTGGCAGATGGCCCACTTTGAGTTGATTTTGCTACTCACAACTTGCTTTCTGCATTCCTGAGTGTAGGCAGGCTGATTAGCCCAAACCCTCAGCATCAGCCAAATAAACCCATCTTCACAATTACTAAGATATAGATTAGCCAAATATATTTCACCTAAATTCAAGAAACCTTTAGATCTAACTTCTCGTTTGAAGTAAATAGAGGAACCAGATATACTAGCTCAGTACTACAATAAGGAAGGAAACAAAATATTCAGAATGTGGGACATTCTGCAGGGCCGACAACTGATTGGCTCTTTATTAAATCTAATGTCGTGAAAAGATTCTTTAAATCCTAGAAATAAAAGAGATTCAAGGGATACATCAACCAAATGTGATACAGGGTCTCAGACTGGATCCTCATTTGGGCAATTTTGGGGATGTTCTGAGGAAAATTGGAGGAACTACAAAGTGGAGAATAGGATAAAGATTTAGAGACATGAAGTGAGAGTTGTGTTAACTAAAATATTTTAAATAGCAAATTAGTGTAGCTCATTTGGTAAAAGTACAGGCACATAAATGCACATGCAAATATCTGGAACCATAAATAGTAAGGAATTAATAGCCCTAATGTTTGGAAGGTGAGTATACAAGGTTTGTTTGCATATCTGTATTTTTTTCTAAGGTACACATATGTTGGTTTTGTAATAACAGCTTATTTTTAATTTAAAAATGATCAGATTATAAAACAAGGCAAAATGAGGTAAGGTAAAAATTCATGGCAGATCTGATCAACAGAATTGTGTCTTCCTGATGCTGCTGATGCCACTGTCATGTAGCCATGGCCTTAGTGTGGAAACACACACACACACACACGGGGAGGGTGCAGGCTGGGCAGTCTCTCCAATCTGGGACTCCTTGGGGGATGTCCAACTGCCAGTTTAGGCCCAATCCCTCTCACAATCCTGGACCACTGGCTCCTAATCACTTATCTGCCTGCCTGCCTGGTCGCCCCTAACTACCCCCCCCTGCTGGCCTGATCGCCCCTCACTGCCTCTGCGTGCCAGCCTGATCACCCCTAACTGCCCCCCGCTGCTGGCCAGGTTGCCCACAACTGCCCCCTCCCTGCCAGCCTGGTTTCTCCTAACTGCCCCCTGCCTGCCACCCCCCGCTGGCCTGGTCACCCCTTACTGCCCCCCCGCTGGCCAGGTCACCCCTTACTGCCCCCCCTGCTGGCATGGTCGCCCCCAACTGCCCCCCTCTGCCGGCCTGGTCACCCCTAACTGCCCCCCCTGCAGCCTAATCGCCCCCCCTGCCGGCCTGGTTGCCCCCACCTGCCCCCCTCTGGCAGCCTGGTTGCCTCTAACTGGTCCCCCTACTGGCCTGGTTGCTCCCAACTGCCCTCCCTGCTGGCCTGGTCGCCCCTCGTGTCCCCCCACCAGCCTGGTTGCCCCACGCAGCCTGCTGTTCAGTCGTTTGTTTGTTTCTCACTAACCCCGCTGCCAACCTGGCTGCCCCATGCAGCCTGCTTGTTCAGTCGTTTGGTCATCCCTCACTAACCCCCCTGCCGGCCTGGTCATAGGCAGCCATCTTGTGAGGGTGTGATGGTCAATTTGCATATTAACGCTTCATTATATAGGATTCTTTCTTTTTAAAAATATATTTATTGATTTCAGAGAGGAAGGGAAGAGAGAGAGAGAGACAGAAACATCAACAATGGGAGAGAATCATTGATTGGCTGCCTCCTGCATGCCCCAGACTGGGGATCGAGCCCACAACCCAGGCATGTGCCCTGATCTCCAGGAATTGATTGACCTCCTGGTTCATAGGTTGGCACTCAACTACTGAGCCACACCAGCCAGGCAAGAGGAAACATTTTATAATACAGTGTGGTTAATTCTGTCCACCACGCTACTCCGTGCACATGTGTCCCTGTGGGATTCTCTGCACGGGGCCCACAAATCCTGGAACAGCACAGTCCCTGAGGTCAGCATTCAAAGTCTGTGCCAAAGAGTGAGGACTCCATCCTAAGAAGGTTAGGAGTCACGGCCCTAAGAGGTTAACTATGGTGCTTTTTAATAGTGGGTTTTGAAATGTTCTTTCAATTCCAAAAGATCTGGGAGAAGAAGAAGGATGAGTAAAGTGATAGACCTCAAGCTCAAGTGACTCGTCTGCTCCTGGGTTAAGCCACCACACCCCCCAGCTCCTAGTGGCACCAGGAGGGCAGAACAGGCAAGATCTCAAAGTCAGAATAACAAGGTTCTCAACGGCCCCTAGAGAACCACAAACACTGTTCCCAGCGGGGACACACAGCGGGAAACAGGACTTCAGGGCCTTACCCCAAAACACCCCGGTACTTTCCCCTGCCTGATCTCAGTCCTCAGATCAAAGTGAACCAGAGAGCCCTGATCTGAGGGGTACACTGACTACCTGGAGAGCAAGGTGCCAGAAATTTGGGAAAGTGCATGGAAGGAATAAGCATGGTCAGAGGTGAGCGAGGGAAAGGACTCTGCTTACCTTTGGAAGTTTGGGTTCAGAGAATTAATTTTGGAGCAACAGGCTGCAACCTCTGAAATGTCAGGAATTCAGTAATAAATGACGGCAGCCAATGAGTGTCATGTGTCTCTTATTAGAAATGGATTGCACAGGACCCTGATCAATAGGCCAGATAGCAAAAGGCAAAGGAACTCTGGGCTGCTGTCTATAATGAATGGTTGTTTTATTAAAAACAACTTTGGTCAGACTCCCAGCAGTACCAAGTCTTTTAAAGTGCAGCCCATTATGCTCAAAAAGTCACAGAGGGATTGAACTTCCACCCAACTACAAATCAGGTTCAAAGATCAGCCTCTTTCTTGGAGGCAAGCGTTTGTATCATAGCTGCAGATTCAAGAAGAACCATCTGTGGCAGGACAGGTTGGGCAGCATGCCTGCCTGCGTGCGTGCGTGTGTCCTGTCCCTGTAGAGTCCGAGTTCGGGGAGGGGTGAGCCACAACAGGAAGCTCAGCATTCGATTAGAGCATGCCACCCACACGATTGCAACTTCAGAAGTGTTTTAACAAGCCTGCCGGTTGTACTTACTGGATATGCGTTTACTTTGACATTCCTTAAAGTTAAGTGTGTTTTACAGGGCGTTACACATTATTCCTACGTAAACTTTCCTGAATGTGATGACTATAAACTATCTTTGCCTTCCATCTGATTGCCTAGTTGTAGGAAGTCCTGGCAAACAAAAAATACTACAGTTGTCATATTCTTAACAAAAAAAATTAATTTTATGTTAATTTCAGAAAGGGAGGGAGAGATAGAAACATCAATGATGAGAGAGATTCATTGCTTGGCTGCCTCCTGCACACCCCCTACTGGGGATTGAGCCTGTAACCTGGGCATGTGCGCTTGACTGGAATTGAACCTGGGACCTTTCAGTCTGCAGGCCGATGCTCTATCCACTGAGACAAACCAGCTAGGGCCAGCTGTCATATTCTTAAAATACTCTGAGATGTAAGGTGAGAAATAGCAGTGAGCATTTTCAAATGCCTAGCAAGAATGGCAGGGCAGGTAGGAGCAGTAAAAGGGTATTTTGCAAAATATAAAATAAATAACAGAAAACAAGATAAAAATAGAATTTATCCCTGCTAAGTTGGAAAAGAGACAAGGCATTAATGGAATTTTAGAGTGTTTGTAGAATGGTGGCTATGAGAGAACCCTAACTTTGATTGTCTAAACTTGAGCATGGAAAACATTGAGTATTAGATGAAGACCAAGTGACAAAAGCATTAAAAACCCAGATATTATGAGTTTGGATAGTAATTTGGGATCTTCTGATTGCTTGGAATTGAAACAGAATCTAGCTCCTTTGTTGGGTCACCTTGTTGCTGATGGGGGGGTTGAGGGGTGGGTAAGCAACCAAATGCCTGCGATGGTTGTTGGGTTCTGGTTGCTTAATTCTCTCAGAAGGCCCAACAGGAAGACCGTTCCAGATTCTTTGCTGTAATTTGTGCTGCCTCTTGGCACTTAGGCAGAGCTCAAAAGACCTCAGCGGAGTTTCTGTGGTGACATTTCACCTATTTAGGCCCCATACATACCTCATCTCCGTGCATATTTGCCACGTACTTGAACTCTGGAATCCCGATTCTGTGTTCCTTTGGTGAGCGTCCCACGACAAGAACCCACAGGTTTCTGCCTTTATAAAGAAAAAAAAAAGACCGAAAAATAAGTTGTCTTTTAAAATGACAAATGGACTCTGGGAGAATGACCAAGGGAAACAACCACTGCTTCTCCCCCTGATTAAAGCTTCATGATGCTCCAGTTCACAACTAGCACCGCTGTGCTTAAAGGGCCCCCAGTGTACTGCCAGCCCAGACCCTTCACTTCAGCACAAATATTTAACTTACTATTTTACAATGTGATATTTAAAAACTGACGGCTAGCCCTAGCTGGTTTGGCTCAGTGGATAGAGTGTTGGCCTGCGGACTGAAAGGTCCCAGGTTCGATTCTGGGCAGGGCACATGCCCAGTGTGGGGGAGGGGGAGCGGTGCAGGAGGCAGCTGATCAATGATTCTCTCATCATTGATGTTTCTATCTCTCTCTCCCTCTCCTTTCCTCTCTGAAATCAATAAAAATATATTTAAAAAAACCCCAACCAAAACCAAAAAAAACCTGAAGACTTGCTGGGTGACATAGATCTCATTTTTCCAAAATGCTTATTATATGCTTTGCTCTGAGTTTCTAGTGGCTTTATAGAAAACTAGAGGCCGAGTGCACAGATTCGTGCACTGGTGGGGTCCCTTGGCCTGGCTTGCAGGGATTGGGCCGAAACCAGGTCTCCAACATACCCCGAGGGGTCCTGGATTGTGAGAGGGTGGTTCTCGGGTGACACACCACAGAACTGGCCTCCCTCCTCTCTGGTTCCAGGTGTGTGACCCAAGAACCACAGTTACCAAGTCACCGAAGCTCAGCAGCTTCTGCGTTGAGCATCTGCCCCCTGGTGGTGAGTGCATGTCATAGCAATTGGTTGGAACATCTACCCCCTGGTGCACTAGAGGCCCGGTGCACGAAATTCATGCAAGGGGGTGGGGGTTGGAGGGATGTCCCTCAGCCCAGTCTGTGCCCTCTTGCAATCTGGGACCCATCAGGTAGGGTCCCTAGGCCTGGCTGGTGATCAGGGCCTATTGAGGCTTTCCCTCCCCTGGCTGCTGGCACCTGGCCCCACCCCCGCCGCTGCCACTGCTTGCCATCTGTGTGGTGCTTCCCCCCCTTCCCCGCCACTAGTCGCCTCCCTCTGCAGGTGACAGGCATGGGGTGCGATTGCTTGGCTGGCCTGGGCCTCCCTCTGCAGGGCGATCGCTGGCTGGCCCCGCACACCCGCCACAACGTCACTGGCTGGTGGCCTGGGCCTCCCTCTGTGGGGTGATTGATTGTGGGGGCCCCAGATCGATTGTCCCACAAAGGGAGGCCCTGCCCACCTGCCGCCGGCCAGGTAGCCTGGGCCCCAAAGAGGGAGACCACGCCCACACGGCCTGGGCTCCACAATCGATCGCTGTGCAGAGGGTGTCCTGGGCCTCCCTCTGCAGGGCGATCGTGGGGTGATGGCAGGGCTCCCCGACCAATTGCATCGCACCCGCCTTGGCTGGCCTGGTGCCCGTGCATGTCATAGCGTGGTGGTCCAGAAGGTCGTCCTGCTGTTCGGTTGATTTGCATATTACACTTTTATCATATATATATATATATATTGATGATCTTGCTAATTCACACAATTACACAAACTTCAATTGTAGTTGATGGCTGACTGGGAGGTGCCATAATTCTCAGGGCAAGGAAAGGGAAAAATAGATTAAAAAAAATCAACAGCCAGTAAACATGTAACTCCGAAGGGAGCTTGTTCTTAAGGTGAGAAACTGACTCTTGTATTCAAATGCTGGTGGGACACAGCTCCTTTGTGGTGAGTGTCCGCGCATCTTTGATGTGCAGGCGTCTTGTAAACTGGGAACCACACATACCCTAATAATACCCCAGGAGAACCTCTAGGTCCTAACTGTGTCACAGAGGGTGTGATGTGGGCAGGAAGGACAGAGACTGCGGTCTCTGGGAATTCGCTCTGTGCAGACATCAGTCTATACCCGGCCCACAGCATCTCAGGACATCCCTTGTCATAACTCACTGAGGTGGGTCTTTAACCAAACTTTACAAATGAGAACACTGATCTTCAAAAAATATGAAGTAAACTGCTTATGATCACACAGCCAGCCAGGAGGAGACTGTGATTTGAGCCCCAGAGCCAAGACCGGAATCCTGCCTGTTTGATTACAATTCTGGCGCTCCTTCCACTAACGAAAAGGCCCCTTTCTCAAGAGGCTTGGTTTCCTAATCAGGAAAGGGAAGAGGTCCCTTTCAATTCTATATCATCTGGCTCTTTCAATGCATACATTTTAGGATTAGAGATTGGGGATTGTGTGTTTGATGTCTACCACATATATGTACGGTTCAAATATCTGTGATAGCTAAGCCTTCTGTGGAATTCAAGCCCAGGAAAGGAATTTAATAGTAGCTAATGGGCTAATGTAGAGCAATTTTCCACAGAATTTCAGCTCTATTCCTTAAATCAGGGGCCCCACAGGCTGGGAACACACAGTTGCCATGAGGAATACAGGAAGAAGCAGATGCTGGACTTATCTTTTGCATGATTTATTCTTTTTGTTGTTGTTAATTCTCACCCAAAGATACTCTTCCACTGACTTTTAGAGAGAGTAGAAGGGAGGGGGGGGGGAGAGAGAGAGAGAGAGAGAGAGAGAGAGAGAGAGAGAAACATCGATGTGAGAGAGACACATCAATCAATTGGTTGCTTCCTGCACATGCCCTGACCAGGGCCAGGGCTGGAGCCTACAATTGAGACACATGCCCTTGACCGGAATCGAACCTGGGACCCTTCAGTCCGCAGTCTGACACTCCATCCACTGAGCCAAATGGGCTAGGGCCTCACCATTTATCCTTACTATAACAATATTTTAGAGAAATTTGTCTTGACAAGGTGATAGCTTTAAATTTGGCAACTGCAGGAATTCTCAGAAAACAACCCCAAAATGCAGTTTATCCGGTTGATGCTACTTGTTCATTGCAGATTATTCATTCATACATGCACTTATTGAGTTCTGCTCTAGCCAGGCATTTATCCAGGTGATTAGATTGTATGGATAAGTAGGTCACACTCTATGCCCAGTGAGTTTCTGACCTGGTGGACAAGAGCAACGTGCAAACATATAACTACACTGGACTGTGATAGTTGATCACAGAGCTGTGTGAAAGGTATTGTTGTGGATGTAGAATAAAAGAAATGATTAACTTTTTCCAAGCAAGGGGAGCATGTAAAACTTTACAGGTGTAGCGTTTTAGATCTGATGTCTGAACAGAGTTCTGAAGAATGATTCTGAGTTTGCCATATGGACAAGTACAATCTGCCAGAATCATTTCATTAACCAGCACCTTCTATTTGCCCATAATGCCAATTTGCAGGTCATCTGGAGTTAATTGTACAAAGTTAACATTTGCACGTGAAGCAAGAAATAACTTTTTCTGAGAAGCGAGCTATCAAATCTGGCTCTTCAGGTTTCCTCCTGGGGAATGCTGTTAGGTAGCAATTTGTGCTTTTAAAGCTAGGATAATCACAGGTTTGTACAAAATATGGCCTAGTCCCCTCATAGGTAAGGGAAAATTTCAAAATAATCTCAACAAAATATTTACCAATTGTTATACTTATCACACTACATCTGTGACAGCTGGCCTGCTACACAAAGGAGAGTGTCAGACACTGAACCTGACCTGAGATGGATAGCCAATATGATTTGGTTTAAGGAAGGAGAGAAACCAAACCTATAAAACCGAAGAAATACTTTAATGGGAAACTCACTTCAACTCGAGCACAGATGGCCCCTAAGTGAACTGCAAGGTGTGACACTCACCTTGAATAAACCTCAAGGGCACAAAGTCTAAGAAAGAAACCAGGCAATAAATCCGGAAGATAATAGTATTCCCACAAAGCTTTAGGAATGACAAGCCTCCTGAAGGGTTTTGACCACCCTCTCAATGAACACTGGCTGTCTGGCTTAGACCAGAATTAATACGCAAAGGACAAACTATTTATTTTTCACAGCCTGACTGCCAAGGTCATTTACACAGGATTTTTTTTTTTTCTCTCTATCAAGGTTGGAAAGGTGATTATTGCTAGTACCAGGTGTGCTTAATAGTTCTGAAATGCTGGGACTCTTTCTCCTCATTACAAAGTAAACAAGACTGGATTCCAAATATGTCAGTATCTGTATTCAGGGACTCACGTGGGGCTTGACACAAACCCCAGTGCTCTGACAGGGGAGCCCGACGGGGCCTGCTTGGAGGACTGGAAAAAGCCTTAGCATTCAGAAGGCTTCATCAAGATCCACATGACACAAGAAAGCAGGCAAGAAGTGCCACAAAGTTCTCTAGGTGTTGAGAAGAAAGTAGGAGAAGCTCGGAAAATTAAGTTTAGCTCCCACAGGTAGAAATGGGAGGAGTGTCACTCCCACATCAGAATCACCTGGGTCCTTAAAAAAAAAAAAAGAGAGAGAATCACCTGGGTCCTTGTAAAAATGCCAGCCCCTGAGTCCCGTCTCCTACATCAAACTCGAGGCAGGAAGCCTGAAACCTGCATTTACTAGGCTTCCTTGGTGACTCTGAGGCCCATTAAAGTGTGAAAGCTTCTGGGACTGGGGCGGTAAACGGCCTAATAGATCCAGCAGGCAGTTGATCTTTTGGTAAAATCATCTCATTTTACATATAATCGTGAATATGTCTCTATGTTAACAAATATACTTCTACTATATCTTTTTAAATGGCTGCTTAATGTCTTATACATGAAAGTACTACCATTTACTCAACCAATGCTCTATTGGTAGATGTCCAACAAGAAATGATTTTATATAAATGTCAGCAAGTCCACTGAGATTATGCACAGAATTTATAACATAAAAACATTTTATCATGCGAAAGAAATCAGAACGCATAATTATATGACAACCACCTGAAACAGACTGTTCGTTTTAAAAATACCAGGGAAGGAAATAGCGCCATAGCATATTAAGCCTTAAATTAAATAATGGATGAGTCCCTTACAAGAATTTTTTTAAATGATGTTTTTAAATAACTGTATAAATT